CCTGCCTCCAGGTTCCTGCCCTATTTGACTTCATGTCCTGACTTCCTTAGATGGTAAACAGTGATATGGAAGTGTAAGCCAAGTAAACCCTGTCCTCCCCCAAGTTGCTTTGGTCATGGTGTTTCATCACAGTAATGGTAACCATAAGATGCCTAACCTGAACCTTGACCCCTAACCACACCCCCACCCCTGACCCTGACCTGAACCTTGACAGGGACCTGGCCCTGGACTTGACAAGAACCTCAGATGCTGGAACAGTCAGGTGATAATTGTAGGGACTCTTTCAGTCTGAGGAGATACTATAATTGAAGTTGTAATTGTTCAAGTTTTGACTGTTGTGTTCAGAAGTGTTCAGCCCTATGTAATCCAACAACTTCTTGAAGTTGGATGCTGCTCTTTACTTAGAGGTGGCCTAGCAGGTTTTTGCTTGTTTATTTTTCTTAAAACTGTTCTTTCTTTACACAGAGACTGGCTGTGTTCTTTGGTTTCTTGCCATACCTACTTACACTTAACATAGATACCTGTGTATTCACACACACACACACACACACACACACACACACACACACACACACACCTTGCAGGTGAACTTTCACAAGACAACCTCAAACTACCACTTTTCCAAATCCAAAAGAGCTCTTTCACTAATACTAATGATTCCATGCAAACACTAGAGGTAACAAGGATGACAGTCTAGACTACCTGGTCTTAATTGACCAAGACCTGGCCCACTAGTTCAAGAGAAAGCTCCTACAGAAGAGGTCTGTCTTAGTGTTTACTATTGCTGTGAGTAGACACCATGACCACAGCAACTCCTATAAAGAAAACATTTAATTGAGGGGACTTGCTTACAGTTTAGAGGTTCAGTCCTTCATGATGGGGAGCATGGCAGCATACAGGCAGACAGAGTGCTGGAGCTGAGAGTCCTACATCTTGACTCAGAGGCAACAGGAAGTCTACTGACTGTCTCACTGAAGGAAGCCTGAGAAAAGAGACCTCAAAGCCTGGCCCTACAGTGACACAGTTCCAACAAGAGGTGTGGCACAGATTAAAGGTGTGCCCTCCAACCTCAAGGTCTGGATTAAAGGCATGTGTCATCCAGCCTGCTCCAACAAGTCCACACCTTCTAATAGTGCCACTCTCTATGAACTTATGGGGGCCAAATACATTCAAACCACTACAAGGTCCCAGAGTCACATAGAAAGGACACTTTCCAAACTGTTAAGCTACCTGCGGCCTGTGCACTATGTGCCAGGTTCCCAGCTTTGGTGAGCTATCAGTTGTCTTTGAGTCATTTCTACTCCTAAAAGTTACACCTGGACCATATTCCTGTAAATAACCCCAATAAACCCCATTGGTTCACCAAATTAGTGTTATCCATACTTTGGTCTGTTGTGAGTTCCCTGTGTGGAGTGAATAGACATGTGTGTTGCATCTTCCCAGGAAAAATTTTGCCACACAACACAAGTTAACAACTGAAGCTAACTATGACTTCTCCAAATACCAACATGTTGGTCAGATATAGGTGGTTTAGGTCAAGTATTTCACAACATCTTGGCTCTGATCTGCTATGGCACTTTTATACTCCTGAAGCATTCTTTGCCCTCTTTCCATAGCTCAATGATCAGACATTGCCCATAGATGCTGATTATTGATGCTCCAAGTCTCAGGATTCTGGGTGTCTAAGTTGCAAATGAATATTTGTTAAAAATGATCTTCCTTGAAAAAAGACCTGAAGCTCTGTGATAGGGCTTTTGGCATAACTATTGTGAGATGTGCTGATCATGGGATAGGGCAAACATAAGTGTTTGGTGTTGAGTAATATGCTAATAGAACAGAGACAAGGACTTCCTGTGGTTTTAAAGCTCTAATTGCTCACTCAGCCCAAAGCAATGGGAATAGGTGAGTAATGCTTCCTTCATGCCTCTACCTGCATAGTGAAAGTGTTTACTGTTGGCCATTTTCTCTTCTTCCCTGTTTGGGAGTAATATTTGTATAGCCTTGAAATGTATTCAAATTTGTGAACATGTATTTGGAGTATGCGTGCCTAGACATTTTTTTTTTTTTTTTTTTTTTTTTTTTTTTTTTTTTTTTTT